TATTTATATTTTATTTATTTATTTTTTTTTTTTTACATTGCAATAAACATGCATGACGAAGTTTATTTCATGTCTATGGTGTTTATGCAGTATATACTTCAGGAAGCATTGTTAGAAAAAGTGAAATTAATAGATCATTCACCCTATCAGTGATGTGGTAGACAACCTTGGCACTGGCTACTGTGGAACTACAAATCCCATGAGCCATTGCGTGACTCCCAGAGGCGTGATGGGATTTGGGGTTTCGGCACAGCTGGCGTGCCGAGGTTGCCTACCCCCGCGATGGATCATTCATCCTATAATGCTTGTGGTAGGCAACCCTGGCACTCCAGCTATTCTGGATGATGATGATGGGATTTGTGGTTTCAGCACAGGTGGGGTACCGAGGTTGCCGACCCCTGTGATCCGTAAGTGGCAGTCTTGGCACTCCAGCTATTGGGGGACTACAAATCCCATGAGGCATTGCAAGACTGACAACCACAGGCATGGCTCCAAGAGGCAGTAGCAGGATGAGATTTGTGGTTTCAGCACAGGTGGGGTACCGAGGTTGCCGACCCCTGTGATCCGTAAGTGGCAGTCTTGGCACTCCAGCTATTGGGGGGACTACAAATCCCATGAGGCTTTGCAAGACATAACCAGAGGCTTGATGAGATTTTGGGGGTGGTTTCAGCACAGCTGGAGTACCGAGGTTGCCGACCCCTGTGATCCATAAGTGTCATCTTGGCACTCCAGCTATTGTGGGACTACAAATCCCATGAGGCATTGCAAGACTGACAGCCTCAAGTATGACTTCCACAGGCATGATGGGATTTGTGGTTTCGACACCGCTGGAGTGCTGAGGTTATGGGGTGACTAGATCATTCACCCCATTAGTAATGTGGTGGATCATTCACCCTTAAGTTGTGTGGTAGACAACCTTGGCACTGGCTACTGTGGTACTTCAGATCCCGTCAGCCAGAGACTATCAGTGGCAGTAGCAGGATGAGATTTGGGGTATCAGCACAGCTGGGGTACCGAGGTTGCCGACCCCTGTGATCCATAAGTGGCAGTCTTGACACTTCAGCTATTATGGAACTACAAATCCCATGAGGCATTGCCAGACTGACAACCACAGGCATGGCTCCCAGAGGCAGTAGCAGGATGAGATTTGGGGTTTCAGCACAGCTGGAGTGCAGAGGTTGCCGACCCCTTTTTTTAAAAATCATTCACCCTATAAGTGATGTGATAGGTCGGTGGTAGGTAACCTTGGCACTCCAGCTATTGTGGAACTACAAATCCCATGAGCCACTGCATGACTCCTAGAGGCAGTAATATGATGAGATTCGGGGTTTCAGCACAGCCGGAGTGCCAAGGTTGCCGACCCCTGTGATAGATCATTCACCCTATAAGAGATGTGGTAGGCAATCTCCGTACTCCAGCTATTGTGAAACTACAAATCCCATAAGGTATTGCTAGAGGGACAGGCATGGCTCTTAGAGGCATGATGATATTTATAGATTGAGCACAGCTGGAGTGCAGAGGTTGCCGACCCCCGTGATGGATCATTCACCCTATAAGTGATGTGATAGGTCAGTGGTGGACAACCTTGGCACTCCAGCTAATGTGGAACTACAAATCCCATGAGGCATTGCAAGACTGACAGCCACAGGTATGACTTCCACAGGCATGATGGGAGTTGTGGTGTCGGCACAGGTGGAGTGCCGAGGTTGCCGACCCCCCTGATAGATCGTTCACCCTATAAGGATTTCTTTTTGGAAGAGTTGCCAGAAGTTTGTGCTTTATGAACACTTCCGGTGGCAGTTCCGTTCTCCTGTTTCTCCCGGCGGAAGTTTGTCCAAATGTATTTCGAGTCACAACTGCACCTGCTGGTCCTGCGGACATGTGGCCGTGTTTATTCTTGCATAGTGTGAAATGTAATCCTGGAGGGTTGGCAGTCAGAACTCCCAATCCTTCCCGGGGCCCGGGGCCTGCAGGGACTCCGGTATGCAGAAGTAGCTATTGAAAGCCCGCGTAGTCTGCAGCACGTTATATGACATGGGGATCGTCCTTGTCATCGCTGGCAATTTACGGGTCCAGCGTACAGCAGTCTTCTAAACCGGGGTCACCCGGAGGTGTCGCCAGGGGTTTCTTCAGCAATTTCGGACTCTCGAAGAATTCATCACTGACATTTTTTTATGCTATTTGTAAGGGAGGCGTTCTTCCCACTGACCGCCAGTATAGGGAGCGTTCTTCCCACTGACCGCCAGTATAGGGAGCGTTCTTCCCACTGACCGCCAGTATAGGGGGCGTTCTTCTAAATGGTCACCAGTATAGGGACCTTTTTTCTAAATGGTCCCCAGTATAGGGAGCGTTCTTCTAAATGGTCACCAGTATAGGGAGCGTTCTTCTAAATGGTCACCAGTATAGGGAGCGTTCTTCTAAATGGTCACCAGTATAGGGAGCGTTCTTCTTAATGGCTACCAGTATAGGGACCTTTTTTCTAAATGGTCACCAGTATAGGGAGCGTTCTTCTAAATGGTCACCAGTATGGGGAGCGTTCTTCTAAATGGCCACCAGTATAGGGAGCGTTCTTCTAAATGGTCACCAGTATAGGGAGCGTTCTTCTAAATGGCTACCAGTATAGGGACCTTTTTTCCAAATGGCCACCAATGTGGAGAGCATTCTTTTTAATAGCCACCAGTATATAGGGAACGTTCTTCTAAATGGCTACCAGTATAGGGAGCACTCTTCACACTAATGTAAAGGGAGAACACTGGCCAGCAGTATAAGGAGTTCCTTCTTCCACTGACCACAAATGCAAGGGCCATTTATCCACGACACTCAATGTAAGACGGTCCTTCTCCTCTGGCCCAGGTAAAGGGGCGTTTGTCTACTGACAATACTGACAATATAAGAACACAATGACATTTTTACAATCAGTTTTTTTTTTTTTTGGCCTTATATTATTTTTGATTTCATTTCATTATTGATACAGAAATTGTTCCTATAGAGCAGCACTGGGTGTCTCAACCTTTTATTCACTCTTACATCTCAGCTTGCTGTTCAAGTTGATGTCCCGCGCGCTGTAAATGTTGTCATGATTAGTAGGGGTTCCCTCAGACCCGAAAGTAATTTCAAGGGTTCCTCCATCTCAAAGTCTATCGTTCAGTATAACAAATACAATTGTTTGTTCGTAAGATAAAAGTCGTGCGACCTTACAGTAGTAGAGGTCGCACGGCTTACACACACCTTGCGATAATCGCGGGATTTCCCACTATTATCGTACGATTGTCGCAAGGTGTGTTGGGACCTTAAGAAAGACTGACAAGCATCATTGACATACAGACACATTAGGTGAGGAGGACCCGCTCCCTACTTTTGGCAATATAGTGTATGTACACCTCAATAGTAATGTTACACATTAAGAAGGTAAGTATGTATTTACTATATGGCTGAAGCTCGTGGACGCCTGACCATCACATCTATATGAGCTTGTTGGACATCCCAGACTGCGGTGTGGTGCCGGTGTGAACCCAGCCTGAGAGTTTCACAAACAAACAGGACCAAATGCAAAGTTCGGGAAGCGAGCCATAAAAATATCAGCTGGTCTGTGTTCTGTCATTTGGAAGCATTAAGCGATCCACGTCAGATGTTATCGTATCGTAACCTCCAGGGTCCGCTCGGGTCACATGGGTTCTAGTGTCTGATCGGGTCAGGACCGCACTAGCCATTGGAGACTGTGTGCCC